CGAATGTGAGATGGGTGGAGGCGGCGCTACATTCAGCGCAGACTGCCTGCTAAGGGATATATTTCCCCAGAAATTGATGCTGTAGATAAGGCAACAGAGCCGACATGGGTGCGTCCGTCAAGCCAGGACGGGGGATATGCGATGTGGCAGGGCTGATACGCCGGGGCAGTCAGTGTCTGTTTGAGGTTTTGCTGTTACCTGATTTTGAAGTCGACAGCGATGAACGGTAAGGTACAGACTGCACCTAAGAGGTGGAGGTGGAGGTGCCCAGGGTGGGGTCAAGTTTCGCCTGCCACCAAAGTCATATTGGGTATACTCCATACATACCTAAGCCAGGTATATAATGGAAGCTTTGATTTCTACCACATGTAAGTCAGGATCAGTAGGTACATTTGAACGAGAACTCTAAGATACCTCTACTGAACTCACAATTAATTTCCAGTCACAAGACAGGGAGGTATTTAAGGTAACACAAGACTTTGAGGTCTGGGCAATCACCAACGCTAACGCTGCACTAAAAGCGTACTCAGAGTTAGGATTCAGTCATCGCATCGCGATTTTATTGAGAGTTGCAGACTATAAGACATATGATTGGGAAACTAAATATTATTGTAGATTGATAATGGACCCTGCCGGGTGGTGGTCAGCTCTAGGTTAGGCTACTCGTCTATGTGTAAACAACATATCCCTTAGGTAGGATCCCAAAGTGCACCTTTCAAGTATTTTTGTGGGGCTTGACCCAGTATTGATTGGCTGCTGATCAATACGCCACAAATACCAGCCTTAGGTAAGGAGGCAGAACGGTGCAGCTAGAGGTTCTGATCTGTAAGCTGCAGTATCAGAGGTACCTATATTTAGGTGTCATCTCTATATAAGAGAAGGTACTCTTGATATTAAGTAGCTGATTGGCTAACCCCCGCAAAGATACCTCAAAGGTGCACTTTGGGATCCTAAGGGATACCTAAGTACAAGTGCCGTGCTGTCGGGCTACTGTAGTCGTGCCAGAACAATGTTCTAGCGTCTGTGCTGCATGAAGGCCTTGATTCGATCTTGGAGCTTACACCCAGAGGTAGACTAGAGACTCCGGAAGTTTCTGAGATCGAGTACCAAACGTTATCGGCGTATCTGAAAATGGAAAACCATCCGAAACTCACAAATACATTATTTTGGTTCTTTCAGGTATCATAAGCCATTGATTCAGTAAACAATTCCAGCCTATGCAGAATATAACATCATATCATTCAAGACAACTTAGACATCCATATCAGTTCCTGTTTCATCATAATCCTTCATCAACCTCAACTCTATCCATTGATAGTATGACCATGGTCATTTCTGGACGAAAAATGTGCCCACGGTCTTGAGATGTCTAGTATCTCCGGGCAGAAAACTTGATCACCTATAATCCACGAGACATTACCGACAAGCACCCATCTATGCGCTGCCTGGCTTCCCACTATCTTGATCTGCTTATCAGCCCAGTTGCAATGTGGGCCCTAGGTGATTCAGACATCTCCGGGGGCAATCAGCTAAGGAACAGACGTGATTCGCCCATCGCCTCTATCTCCTGATAACGCGCACTCTTCAACCTCCGCGGGATCAGACCAGAGCCCAATGCATCCACTCAATCGTAACTTGCATCTCCTCGCGGGATATAGAGAAACACGATATCATGAACCAAGCCTCAGCAGATCCAAATGGAGAACCTCAGGGGGGTCCTAGACCCACGAAACGGACAAGCGGCAGTGCCATCACGTCTGATCACCCGCGATAAGACTTATTATACTGCACTTTCTGCTGCCTCTTAGACTAATCTTCAATTCAAACAATGCTATCAATACATACGGCTGTGTAACCATTCTTGAGTCCTCTTCACAACTGGCACACATATCTTGATACACTATGGAGACTTCAACAACAGCAATAACAACTCTCCTACATCAGGAACAGATCCCTGAAAACTCTGAACCAATCTCAGCCCATACACATACCCATAGCCTTCCTCCTACTCCTCCAGGAACAGCAAAGCCATCTCGGATAGGTAGCTTCCACGATCTACAAGAACTCTCATCAATCGAATCCCCTCGTCTCGACCATATCAAGCCTTATCCTCTACCTCCAAAATGCTCCCCAAAGTCTGTCCTTAAGGAGGATCTCAAAACCCCTGACAACTTTGTTGAGAGAGATCCACGTCTCATTCGTCTAACTGGAGTCCACCCGTTCAACGTTGAGGCACCTCTGAGCGACTTATACGACGAAGGTTTCCTAACCAGCGAGAATCTTCACTATGTCCGTAACCACGGACACGTGCCTAGATGTGAAGACGATGATATCCTCGACTGGGAGTTCGAAATAGGTGGCCTTGTCGAAACCCCCATCAAGATGAACGTACGAGATCTCATCAACGACTACCAGCAATTGACTTATCCGGTAACATTCGTGTGTGCTGGAAACCGTCGCAAAGAGCAGAACATTGTTCGCAAGACCAAGGGGTTCTCTTGGGGAGCTGCCGGCCTGTCAACAGCTCTCTGGACCGGTGTTGCCATCGGAGATCTGCTTGCTGCAGCAAAGCCCCTGCGTGGAGCCCGGTATGTTTGCTTCGAGGGAGCAGACAAGTTACCCAATGGCTATTATGGTACATCCATCAAGCTCAACTGGTGCATGGATCCTAACAGAGGTGTTATGGTGGCTCACAAGATGAACGGTAAGACCTTGCATCCAGACCACGGCAAGCCTGTTCGTATCGTCATTCCTGGGCAAATAGGTGGTCGAAGTATTAAGTGGCTCAAGAAGATTACTGTCACACAAGAACCCAGCGACAACTGGTACCACATCTATGACAACCGAGTCCTACCCACCATGATCTCGCCTGAAGAGAGTGCAAACTTGCCCGAGGTCTGGAAGGATGAGAAGTATGCCATTTATGACCTAAGCACTAATAGTGCCATTTGCTACCCTGCCCACGAAGAGAAAGTCTCGCTCACGGGCGCTCCGGCAAGTTATAAGGTGCGAGGTTATGCCTACGGTGGTGGAGGAAGACGCATCACACGAGTCGAAGTTACCCTTGACAAAGGTAAATCTTGGAGACTCGCCAACATCCGATACCCAGAGGATGACTACCGCAACGCCCCTGAGGGTGATACCCTCTACGGGGGGCGTGTCGACATGTGGTGGCGTGAGACATCATTCTGCTGGTGCTTCTGGGATCTTGGCATTCCTCTGGATGAGTTAAAGAGTGCAGATGATATAATGATGCGTGCTATGGACGAGTCTATGAACGTACAGCCTCGAGATATGTACTGGAGCGTACTGGGCATGATGAACAACCCATGGTTCCGAATCGTGATCCATCAGGAGGATGATGCACTTCGCTTCGAGCATCCCACCCACGCTACTCTAAAGATCAAGGGCTGGATGGAGCGAGTCAAGGAGGCCGGCGGTAATCTTACCAACGGCTACTGGGGCGAGAAGGCTCCTGGTGAAGTTCAAGAGGTGGTGGTAAAGGAGCCTGAGAAGCAGATCTGCATGACCAACCCAAAGATCAACCGAAAGATCACCATAGAAGAGCTCAAGGCGCACAGTGGTGAAGAAGAGCCTTGGTTCGTTGTCAAGGGCGAAGTGTACGATGGCACTCCTTACCTCTCTGGTCACCCCGGTGGTGCAGCATCAATCTTTGGTGCCGCTGGTCAAGATGCTACTGAAGAATTTATGGCCATTCGTAAGTCCCACCTAATCATACCAAGTCCACTCAAATGTCCACTAACATTTGCATCAGACAGCGAGAATGCAAAAGCCATGTTGCCCACATATCATATCGGCACCCTCGATGAAGAATCCCGTGCCATTCTCAGTGGCGATGCTACCAAGACGAGCGATGACGCAAACCGAGAAGTATTCCTCCAGTCCAAGACATGGAGCAAGGCTATTCTGGATAAAAAGACATCCATCTCACCAGATACAAAGATCTTCTCCTTCAAGCTCAACCACGAAGGCCAGAAGATCGGCCTCCCCACTGGCCAACATCTTATGATGCGTCTCCGCGACCCTGCCACCCGTGAGGCCGTCATACGCTCATACACACCATACTCCGACGGCTCAGATTGTGGTCATCTAGATATTCTTATCAAGATCTACTATGACACCCCTCAGCGCAAGGGCGGTGTCATGACACAAGCGCTCGATGCCCTTCCTATTGGTCACTGGGTTGACTTCAAAGGGCCTACGGGCAAATTTGTATACCAAGGCAATGGGCTCTGTACAATCAATGACAGAGAACGCCGTGTTCGCCGTTTCATCATGGTCTGTGGTGGTTCTGGAATTACTCCTATCCGCCAAGTACTCCGCGCCGTCATGCATAATCCTAACGACACGACACCATGCCTGGTCTTCAACGGCAACCGGAGTGTTGACGATATTCTTTGCAAGGGAGAGCTCGACCAACTGGAGGCTGCCAACCCTGCCAGATGCCGAGTCGTCAATGCCCTCTCTAACCCTCCACCAGAATGGAATGGCCTCAAGGGTTTTGTGAACCAAGCCCTGGTTCCTGAACAAATGACTCTACCCAGCGCAAGCGGCGAGGGTGACGAGTTGTTGCTTGTTTGTGGGCCTCCACCTATGGTTAAGGCTGTTGAGGCCTCATTTCTGGGCATGGGCTTCAAATCAGATGATTTTGTATTCTTCTAAAGAATCTTTGGGCGATGATCTGATGGTCAAAGTAGACTACTTATGTATGTGACGATGTTTCTTTATAAGGAGGCGTGAGGAAAATGGCGTTTAGAGGATATATAATTTTTCTTTGGGGATTCCTTGCCAGCTCCATAAAATCAGAGTTGAGAAACGTACATATGAACAAACAATATACTATACATGCTTCCACAACCAACTCTGTGCATCTTTGCCGACAGACTATCCTTGAGCAAAAACAAACTGGAAAGGAACTCCCGGACATAAAATCGTAAAAGGTTAAATAAAACCGGTGCTATCAAACGAATCGGCGAGTTTTATCGATGTCCACCCTCAGAACTACTTTCAGCACCTCCCTCAGATCCATGGCCAGTTGGGTTTGGATAGTAGAATGCTGCAACGGCGATTGCAACGTACAGAATAATGAGCAAAAAGCCTTCCAGGTAGTTGCTCTTCTGATCTTGAAGGAATCTACCAACGGTTAGAATGGCGAGGATGAGCATGACGAGGTCGAAAACTGCGAAGTTGAGATCAAGACCCTTGTTGAGGCCCCAGCTGACAACGACAGCAAGAGGAGCGTTAAAGAGAGCAGTTTGTAATGTAGCCCCAAGCACGTGGGACATCGCCAAATTGATTTGGTTATCCCAGGCCTCATCGATGGCAGTCAAGTGCTCCGCCAGCTTCTCAACAAGTGGAACAAGAATAAGGCCCATGAAAGCGTCACTGACATCACCCCGTTTGATGACAGATTCGATCTGCATGACGAGAATAACCGCCGTCCAAGCAACAAGACCTACGGCAATGACCAAAGCGATGATGCACTCGGTGAGTGTGAGCTTGGCCTTGGCTTGGTCCTTGTGCTTGTCTCGATCATTGTGCTCATCCTGTTCGAATACAGCGGCGTAAATACCATGGTGAGTTCGAGCCTGATAAAAGACATATACAAGGTAGGCGATGATCAGAAGGACCGAGATGACGCGCGAAATTTGGAGTGTCCTGTGATCGAGGTTTGGGGCGCCATTGCCAACACCGTACTCGAAGACAGTGGGAAGGGCAAGAACAACACCACTATGAATCAGTCAGTTATTGAAAGTAGGGTATAGGACCCGGAAAGTAAACTGACGCAGTAAGAAGTAGTCCGCTTCCGGCTTCGCTGATAGCCTCGTTAAATTCCTGTTCTTCTTTCAACATGCCACCAACGAAAAAGCAAGCACCGAGGCAGAGTAGCATGGTAGCAAGAATTGAACCCATGATGGCCGCCTTGATAACGAAGAACATATCCTTGGAGAGGAGAACCATGAAAAGAATAATTTCGACGATAGAACCAATGCTACAAACGAACAAATCAGCTATTGTTTCTCGGGCTCACACCCGTGAGGAACATACGTGATCTCGAGAAGGACACCCAAGACATGAGGCAGCTTTCGTGAAAGCTCCTGACCAGCAAATCCGATCAAATTGGCACACGGGACCATGGCGATATAGGCCAGCGCGAAAATGGTGATATGATTATTGGGCATAGCATCTGATACGCGTGAGTCAAGTCTACACAGGAGACGAGATGTTTGTCGGAAAGACTTACAGCGAACAGCAATAGCAGCAGGGACAAAAGGCCAGAGAAAGTTGCAAAGCAAACTAGCTCGACTGGTTGATCTGAACGAGATCTTGGAAAAGTGAATAGGATGGAAGCCCTTTCGGCCACTCTCGCCCGCAGGCTTGATATATCGAGACATTTTGCCGTTGCCGTGATGTCTTTTCTCTCCTCTCTTGTGTTCGCTATATGTGTTTGGAATTGGGAGAGTACGGTCGTCGGATGAGACTTGTCGCATGTCGGGAGAGTTGTATGAGCGATGTCGATGGGAGCGTGAAGAGGAGCGATCTCGAGGCATGTTGGTTGCCTTTTGTACTCCGTATCTCAGTTATGCTCACTTCACTTCAGTGCAGTACAGTTCCGTTATAGTTTTCCCAAATTTCCGAGGGAGAAGGGTCGAGACCAGGAACTAGGACCTGGGGGCTTGCGGGAGGGAGCCAGCTGCCAGACCGCCCAGGGTATACGGATTGGATAGATAGGTAGTCTAGGTACGGATAGTGTGTGTTTACTTGCTTTGTGGAGTGGTTCCTAGTAGAAAAATAAAAGGGAGGAGAAAGAGGACAAAGCGCGTAACAAAAGAGGGAAGGGATGGATGGATGGATATAAATGGATGCGACAGAGACGACGAAGGCACTGCTGTGACAAGGCACTCGCTTCTAGTCGATCCTCTATTCAATGGATGCATCGCTATCCATAGCACAACAGGTTTCACACCTCCCGTCTCGGCAGCTAACCCCCCCTTTTAGATCTCTCGATCCATTCACGGCTTCATCTAAATCTCCCAGTAATTGTACATAAAAAAGACCCCTTGACCCTCGTGAGCCAATGAGATAGCTCCAGCATGATGAGGATACGGTCACCCACAATGCTTGTGCCCTGCCAAGTTTCGTCTCTAGCAGGCCAAGCCGGGCCCAACCGTTAATTTTCGGGGGGGCATTGCTTGGCGGTGCCTTGGATCTCACCCTAGTCCAGCTACGTCACTGACGCTTTAGCCACTGTCCAATCCATGGGACGACATCATTGTACGTACAGGTGCTCCATTGCTGATTACTAGCATTTCTCTTACCATTAAAAGCAGTCTTACCGCACTCTCACTCGTTCTTCTATCCCTGGCTCTACTCGTCATACCAACAGTGGTGTCCTACGTAACTAACTAACTTACTAACTAGTGCCATTCAAATTATTCTTGTTTTTATCCTTATTTCACATCCTTCACACTTTACCCTTCCGAGGTCTAGACCCAAGCCATCTAACCCCATACAGGCCACCTCAGCAACACCAAGGCACACCGCAGACGCCAGACTTGGAAAAGGCCTGTTCATCAGCCAGACAGGGGCATTTGTTCTGCGATCCCCTGTGCCGGTTTCCCGTCTACCGACACTCCCATTCAAACACCCATCTCTTGTGGCTTGACGCCTAGAAGGAGGCTTCACATCGAATTTGCAGGCCAGTATGCAAATCCTCTCTTGCTACAGTAGTTCCTGTGTAAGATTCTGATATCACAAATGCCAGAGCTGACAGCCTCGCTCTGTTTGTGCCGCTAACCCTGAACAATTTCTGGGATCGTTGGTGCACATCACCATATGTGAGCAGGCAATGCAGTAGAGGAAAGAATCAAGTCCCCCTATATGCTTATGATGATACTAGGACTGCTACCAGAGCCAGACGAGATAAATCGTGACTACTGGGGACGTGGCGTCAAGTATTCGACAACATTAGAAAGGGCTTCCCTTGGTTTGCCCAACATTCGGTTGAGTTGTAGCCATTCTGGCGACCCCATAAGCCGAAGTATGCATTGCTACATAGTCGATATCATAGTTTGATGTATCTTGTCATAGAAGAGGGACATTCATCCTGGGCGAGAACAATCTTGGGATTCAAAAGCAGAAGTACGCCCTGAAGGATAAAGGAATCCGAAAAAGAAAAAGAAAAAAAGGCTTAGAGAGTCGAGAAGAAGACGAAGTTTGAGCATGGACCACACATAAGAGAGACTGGAGATCTAAATTCATTATTCGGAACAAAGGTAGGTATATACCCTGGGGGGATGCAAGTAAATCCTTTGCCAAGCCGGCTGTAATCAAAGAAGTCAAAAATAACAGTGATAGCAACACGTATCCTTAGGCCTCATGTTGTTATTTATCCGTTGTTATCGGTAGTGCTGCGGTTCTCAAGGGCAGTCTCTTTGGCCCGGTATGGAACAGGTTCTGCCAGAACGACTGTCTCGGTACCTATGGGAATGTTTAACTCTGGACCCATCGGCAGTGACTCCATATCAATCTCGACGTTCAACAGAGTCTTGAGAATCACTTGACTACCAGCTTTACTCATCACTTCGTTCGCTTGCTTGCACAACTCCGATGCCACACATTCAACACAACCTCGCTCACAGTGACAGTCTTCGACCCGCTTCAACGCATCCCGTAGTAGTTGATCGATATGGTCAAATGCTTTCGTGCTGATACCTGATCCTCCTGCACCACCTTTAGCATCGTAGAATGTTAGCCGTGCTGGTCGCTTCCGCTGTGATTCTTGTTTTGCAAACTCTTTCACCGCCGTCTTGCACTCTGTCCGTACATCACCAGGCATGCTGATAACGAAGGCTGGCAGTAGACTCATAATGGCATGCTCTGCAGCGTGTATCGCGGCGGCAATGTGAAGACGTCTCTCTTGGAGAATTCTCATCGCCTTCTTAGGCACATCGAGCCACATTCCCTTGCTGAAACGTATGACTGGTGGATTGTCTACATGCACCGCATCCAACACTCGGTTCTTCTTGTCGACCTTGAAGAATCCAAACACGTTTTGCTGGATCTTGATTGTTCCATAGTAAGCATGCGATCGAGAATTCGAAATTTTTCTGATGGCCTCTGTCTCCGTGGGATCGATATCAGTATAATCACGCTGAACAGTTGTCCACTCAACCTTGACCCTTTCCACCCTGGCCATTCCTTTGTCAGGTTGGAAGTCTCGTACAAGGTAGGGATTACCCTGGTGAAGAAAAATGGCTCCATCATAAAGTGTAAAAGTTGCTCTTGAGGCCTCCAGCTCCTCCAGAACAACATTCCGGCCGTTGGTGATATCTATGATAGCAAAGTGGTCATCTTCTGTGTCTCGTATAGCAACATACTTTGCAGGGACAGGGCGAAATCGATCATGGCAATGATAAAAGCCCATGTCATCTTTGATTAGGCGTTCCATGCAAATCTTCGGCAAGTCTTTGCCAAAGTATTTTGCATCATCTTTCGGGCGTATTGGCATTTCATATGCCGCGCATTGAATGTGTCCTTCACGCACAAGCATATTCTCCAGATCAACTTGCAACTCACAATTGGGCTTTGTGAATAGCTCGTCTGGGTTCTGCATGTAGTGCTGGTCTGTGGCAAACCCGTCACCAACCAGTATCGAAAGTGAATCCTTGTTGCGACGGCCAGCACGGCCACTTTGTTGTCGCAGGTTGGCAATCGTATAAGGGAATCCCCACGTCATGACACAATCAAGGGAGCCTATGTCAATGCCGAGCTCTAACGCAGTGGTTGCAACAATTCCAAGCAGTTGACCTTGAAACATTTCAGTCTCGATCCTGCGGCGATCTTGTGCTGTATAGCCGCCACGATATCCCATCACCAGATTGGTACATTCTGGCCGCCCCAGGTTCTCGAGCTCCTGCTTGATGGTGCTCACGAGCAACTCACATTGCGCCCGAACTCTGCAAAATGCAATGATCCTCACACCTCTTAGCATCAGGGTACAAAACAGTCGCGCGCATTCAAACTTGGTGCTGCCGCGGCCAGATGCCGGATCGCCAGGGTCTTTATATGGAGTGTTCCAGCACAAAAACTCCTTCCGCCCTGATGGAGATCCATCGTAATCTATCAGTTTGACGTTTTCTATGCCGAATATTGTTTTGAAGTGTTGCTCTGGGTTCGCAACTGTAGCAGAACACGATATAAATTTGACACGCCGGTTTCCCACGGCGGCACATATTCGCCTCAATCTTCGCATGATGAAGGACATGTGAGACCCCATTTGACCATTATAATAGTGCAACTCATCCACTGTTGACGATTAATACGCATATATAAAAGGTCAATCAAAGGAAGCGCTTACCAACGACATATTTCAAGTTCTTCAGGTAAGATCTCCATCGTTCTTCTTGGGGTAATATGGTAATGTGAAGCATGTCTGGATTAGTAAAAATTATTCTTGCTTGCTCCCGAATCTCATTGCGCTCAATCATTGGAGTATCCCCATCGAATGTCTCTACCATAGTCTCTTCGAGACCAGGCATATAACTCATCATCTCTTTCAAGCTCCTCTTCTGGTCCTGTGCTAAGGCTTTTGTGGGGAAGATGTACATTGCTCTGGAGTTATAATCCTCTTCGAGGGCACGAATGACCGGGAGTTGGTAGATCAAACTCTTGCCAGAGCTTGTCGATGTTGATACTACAACGTGTTTGCCATCGTGGAGACTGTTGAGGGCCTCTGACTGATGCGCATAGAACTGTGTGATTCCCTTGGCGTTGTATAGAGCGTTCACCAAATCCTGGCTCAAAAGAAAGTTGAGGTCCCCATACACAGCCTCCTGCTTCTCAAATACTCGATGCCCATCAGGGACAATCTGTCCAGTATACCAGGGGCTCTCCTTGAGCTCCTGTACGATTTCTGGCACGGTCTTTCGTTCCTTTGGTATGCTCTCTGGTATCGAATCGGCTGCCTTGGCCGGGGCAAACTCTTCTTGGGCAGAAGGGGCCGGGATGTATTCCTGTGTTTGTTCTTTGAGAACTTCAAGTGGATCAATCCCATCTTCGGAGCATTCATTGAGGAAGGCATTAATAGCATTAGTGAATCTTTGGTTACGCCTCTCGATCAGATTGGTCATCTGTTTCTGGCTAAAAACAGGCATTCTCAGCTGCTCGTCTCTCAATTTTCGGTTTGGCTTCGTTGGCTCGCCAGACTTCCCTGGGACTTGTCTCTTCAGATCGCCATCAATGAATTCGAGAAAAAGGACTTCTCGTCCTGCAGGTTCAAGTTCCCGATCATGTTGTTTGTCGAGGCCATCCATGCCAGTGTACCCGCCCACTGACGCATCATGCGCAGGAGCCTGAGACCTGAATGATTTGCCAGTTCGGAAGACGTCGTCCCTTTCAGTGCCTTTGACATCAAGTTGTAGCATGTTCTCGTCGACATATGCAAAGAAAAGCCCCTCAGGACGAATCGCTACCATGGAAGCAATCTCATCGACCAGTAGTTCCCGCTTGATATGGGCTTCAACGGCAGATTTTATAGTGTCAAACGTCGTGGCAAGATGTTTTCGTGTGGTGCAAAAGGTGTAGACAAGATTGAGAGCTCGATGCGTTCGTTCAACCTTCTTAAACTCTTCTGGCCATTCCACAGAACAGGGTACGACCAAACTGCTGGCTTCTTTGTGAAGGGTCGGCCGTGCTTTTCCCCTCTTTCCTCCTCTTCTAGATTTCGAGTTGCTCGGCTGACTTGAAGTCGGACTCTCGGCTGTTGAGTCCTCGCCGCCATCACGCTTGCGTTTTGCTCCTGGCAGTGAATATTCTGTGCTAGGACCAACTCGGCCTGATATTTCCTTGCGTTTTGTCATGTCATTAATGGGGACTGAAGGAATGTGTGAGGCTCGGCTGGGCTCATGATAAAATCAAAGCCGTTTCAATACGTGCAAGTGGCGACGTCATGCATGGCTCGAGTCACGAAATTGATGCCATATCACGTGCATTGATTACAATATCACCGACTGCAAATGTGATGAGACATACAAAGCCTACCTACCTTAGCAGAAATGCAGATGTTATTGTATCAATCGAAGCGTGTTTTTTTGTACGAATACGACTTCATGGCCAGTACATAGCTGTGCCCAATCTCCATCTACCCTGTCCAGTGTCCAGTGTCCTGTGTCCAGGACTTATACTAATGGCTTCCAAATACCATTGTTAAAGACACAGCAATGCTCCTCAAATGATAGCTCTTTATACACAATTCTATCCATGGTTCCGTGCAAAAGTCAGAAAGCGACCAGGCTCTCACGGTGCATTGTATCAACATGTGTGCTCCAAGCTGGGCACGACTTTCTGACCTTCTAGTCATCTGCCCTGCTTGCCACTTGCATAAACGGCAACTGGCTAGACTAGCTCCCCTCATGTATCAATGCAAATCCCCGTTTGCGATTCTATCAGGGTTCGAGGCAGGGCATCACCTCTTTATGGGGTTTCAACAGCTTTGCAAGAGCTTTCCAAACAGTGACTAACTGTTCTGGAGTTCTTTTTGAATGATTCCAATCTCATTCATGAAAAGCTTTGCGTTGGCAGCTGACATCTACGTGACATTTGTCAGTTCCAAGTAGCAGATAGGAAATCCAAGGCATTGCGACTTACTCTCATTGTGATGCTCACGGGTTTGGACTGTTCACCCTCGAAAGCAGTGAAGAGGATGCCAACAGACTTCAATGAAGCCTTTTCTTGGAATTTCATGGCGGCGACAAGCGCTGTGTTCAAAATGACTCGATGTGTTTGATCTTGGCGCATGATGAGACGGGCAACCTTGTGGCCTTGGGATTCTCCTGCAGCCTCCTCGTCCACTTCTAAAGCGGAAGCATCAAATGATCCGGGGATAACAGCGCCGTTTTCGTCGTACTCGACACAGGCCTGAGGCACATTAATTTTAAGCATGCCCGCACCTCGTTCTTTCCAGCCGGCCTCTTTGTCGTGGTAAAACATCTTGGCTCTTACAGAGACAACCGTTGCCTCGCCGGCTTCGCCATCGTTGACCTCGACTGGTAACTGTTAGAACTAAATTGACAAAGAGATAGATATGAAACTCGCTTTTCTGCAACTTAAGCTTCTTTTTCTCGTCGGATTCCTTCTCTGGCGAAACAGCACGTTCGGCTTCAGGGGGTTGCTCACTCTCATCTCTTTCTTCTTCCTCTTCGTCACCGTCCTCGGATTCACTATCCGGGGCTCCAAATGGCTTCGCAGGTTTCTCGCTCTTGAGGGGCTCCGCACCAGGCGCAGCGAAGCTCGAGAGAGGTTTGGTACCCCCTAGAGCAGATCCAAAAGTGCTTCCCCCAAAGGGGCTTCCATTGCTTCCAGTTGATAACCCTGCAAAAGGCGACGCCCCTCCTGAGCTTCCAAAGGTCAGCTTAGGTGGCGCGGCAGGCTGTGCTGTTGTAAATGAAGGCGGAGAAGCAAATGAGCTAAGCGAGGGCTTTCCAGCAGCGAGTGATCCGAACGCACTTCCGCTCTGAGAGGCACCAAGAGAAGCAAACGGCGAAGTCCCGGACGACAGCTTGCCAAAGCCAGACGCCGCGAAAGCGCTAGCAGATGTTTGCCCTTGGGACTGTTTTGTCGCTGATTTGCCGGCTTCGGTGTCTTTGGTCACCTCGCTGGAAGCAATCGTTGATGGCTGCAGAGAAAAGGTTAGTCCAGCCTCTACACTTGGTAAGTAAAACTGCGGTTAGCATACCAAATCTGCATCTTCGTCGCGATGTCGCTTCTTCTCGGGCTCGGTTCGTAGAGCTCTATCCTTGGCCGAGTCCGATGATGCCACACTGTTCGAATCGTTTTCTTCAGCATCTTTGCTTCCCTCTAGTTGGTCATGCGCGCGCTTCTTCTTAGGGGATGCGATTTGCTCCTTCAAGTCATTATCGGGCGCATCCGATGTGTTGGCAGCATCTTCTGGACCAGATGTTGGGGGGTCAGAGATAGAGGATTGTTTTAGTTCACGACGAGTAGCACGAGTCTCTGCGTCTTCCTTGGTCTCGACGTTGAGAGGTTCGTTCTTGGGACTGGCATCGGGAGCGTCGTCGGCCATGGCGTCCAAAGGCTTGGTGTGATGACGGAAGATCAACGACAAGAGGATTGGGTTTGATAAGGGGAAGATGCTGGACTTGAGTTTATAGCGGAGGATATAGAGCAAGACATGTAAGGTCCGAGAATCACGGGTGATGTATGAGCAAGAATATGCGCTGGACTTGAAATCAGGCTGGGCGCAGGTTGTCTGAGTTGGGTCACTGTTGGATGTTGGAATCGAAGGTTGTGTTGAGCGCTGCGTGGAGCCAATCAAACACATGCAGAATCGCCAATGTCAAAATAACCAGAGCTAACCTAGACAGCTGAGCCTAGGTACTGTAGCTAAGGTATTCACCGCCCGACTGGCGCTAATATCCACGCCAGCAGGAGGGGTAACAATGGAGGATCGAGATTGGACGTCATTTTCACGATTAAACAAAGACAAAATGATCACAGACAGTTGGGGAAAATGTGAAACGCCCCGAAATACTCTATATAAATTGGCTTTGTACTGAAATTTGATCCTTAACCATGACTTTGTTCCACCTTAAAACAAAAAACATTGCCTACTTAGGTACCTTGCCTTGACCGACCTTGAATGGATCAAAGCCCGCCAGTTCATATCTGATGTACAGACCTAGTGCTTCTACTCCGGGAGCAGGGGTTGTAGCATTGCTTGAGGTTCAGTTGTCACACAACAAACAAGTTCGAACTACTAATAGTATTATTGATGAATGTGTGGCCATCTCATTATCAGCCTTCCATATGCCTAGAAATCTCAGCATCTATGATAGGATAAGATAGGACCCAATGGCTCGGTACCGTATCTGCGCGTTAATCGCTCCAGGATCTGTTCCGTTTCGGGAAAACAAACAAACAAACTGCCATATTCGACAATCGACAAAGCATACCATGATAAAAAGTGATACATGTTTGCAAAGAATAGTTCAAGAACCCTAGAAATCAGTCCATGACACCACTCCATCACCGAAACACTAAACATCGCAGTCCTAGTCAGGATTCGGTTCGTTTCAAGTAAGAATACATCAGTCTAAATCGACCATTTTAACCACTCCGTCTTTTCAAATCACAGCAACTTCATACCGAGTCACGTTTCCTGGTAACGAGCCCGTCTTAGCTGATAAAGCACAGACAGCCAAGACCGAGATAGAAGACAAGTAGAGGGTACACTGCAATGGCAACTCGGTTCTTGACAACTCCGCTGCCACCTAAAATGCTGACACCAGCAGCCAGAGACCAACTGATGAGGACGATATAGATGGGGATGCGAGCGATCCAGTGAAGGCCGAGGGCAGACATCATAGCAGCAAGAACCAGGGGGAAAAGCGTGTATCCGATGATGCAGACACTCTGGGCGAAGGAGCTTTGAGCAAGTTAGCGAATGTCACATGAGCAAACCCAGACAGCGAAACATACATGTTACCACCCAACAGTTTGATCTGTAGCGTCACGACAGCCTCACCGAGCCAAATCATAGCAAAGACGCCACTGAATACAGCATCACGCTGTTCAGATCGAGCGGTGATGCTGAGGAGAACACTTAGAAGAAGGCAGAAGATCAGAGGGCCCCAAAGATCCCAGTCGCGAAGACCAGGAGTCATGTTGCTCTGGAGCAGAGCCTCAGCATCAACCATACGGCTCGCCAGTCCAGTGAGTTCTTCCCTTGTCCCTGAAAGACCAGCGCCACGGATGCTGGAATAAGCGCCGCGCAGACCCCCCTCATTATCGAACATAGTACCACCCAGGAGATAGCGCGGGTAGAGCACTTCTCTGAGCTTTGCCCAGACAGCGAGCAGGTCGCGACGCAATGTATCCCATACGGACTCTTCAATTGTATTTTGAGGAGCTCTTCGGTCTTCTCCGGGGATTCGTGAGGTCAGATAACCTTCGTTCAACGGTCGCGATGATGAGCTGGAGCCAATGTTGCCTGTCAAGGGCTGACGGGTGTTGTTGGTCGCAAGAGGGTCGTCAAAGTCGTTGAGATCGGCTGGATCTAGGTCAGTTTCCACGGAGTAGAGAATAGAGCTCTGTATGTTCCAGCAAAAATAAGGGCCCAGTGTGCGATCTCTTACCATCATCAGGGTCGATCAGGTCGTCCTCATCCTCCAAAGGTGGGTTGGCATAGTGCCCTCGAGCGTTGGAAGCTGACATGATATGTAGAGTATCGTGTCGCTCGGTATGAACAATCGGTTGTGTAATTAGTATTGTGGTGTTCTTTCCGGCGTCACAGAGAAGTCGTGTGAAAGTTGATGAATATGAAGCTGACGTACGTATTTCTATGTAGGTAATAACGGCGAAACTTCCACGGTCGCCTCTCCAGAAACGGGCCCCTTGATGCAAGGTGGCCCAAGCTTCCCCTGCATTGCAACCAATCACAGCGCCGTCCATTTCGGGTACGGGCAGGGGAGCCTCTAGGTAAAGGGCATCTCTTGAATGACAGATAATTCTGATTCAAACACGCATTTGCTATACGAGAAATGGAATCTCTTCTTTGAAGCGCGAAGAAATAAAAATATATTAACCACCTTTCAGGCTTTTACTATTTCAAATTGTCTGACGATTCTAACGACATCATCTCATTTCTCATCACTTGGGTACAACATCAGTACGACTCAGAGCTTCTTCGTGATTAAGAAACAAGCCTACAGCCACTGGGCTCTTTTGAGTTACAGGCGAATAAGTCAAAGCTCATCGACAAACACACCATTCAATCCTTCCCCTCTTCTTGCATTTGTTCAATATTTCATGATCAATGATGTACGTCTCCAGAATACTTTCCAATAGACCCCACCTCGAACGGCGTATTAATGCCATCCGTTTAGAGGATTATGGGAATGATCCTCGGCTGACGTGGTGGGAATTTGAGGGTTTCCAAGCCAATGCTGCCCATCGCTCAACTGGCTTGTTTGTTGGTTCACTGAAGAAGCCGAAATATTGGAAGGATCTTGATGGTGTTGACGGCTGTTCTGGGCAAATGCCTCTTGGTTGCGCTGGTGAGCTGATGGTTGTGAATACCATGGATTACCATTGCCATTGGCCGCACGGTTCTGATATCCCAAACCAGTCGTACTGTAGTCTGCTGTTCCCTCCATTGAAAACTCAGTTGACACCGAGTCCTGATGATGGAACGATGGTTGCTGTCGTCGGGCCTCTTGAGCCCATCGCTGAGCAGCCTGGTTGTAAGGCCCTTCGTAAGAAGCGTCTACCGCTTCAGGGTCCCATATGGGAAGACCGTCGGGAGGTTGAGCCTCTCCTGACGGTTGGCCATGACCATAAGATGCTATGTTTCCGTTGATACCCACAAGGGCCCAAGCAAATACGGCAACATCTCTAATAGATTGCATGAGCTGATCCATAGGGGGGCCACCAGCAGCTTGAATACCGCTTCGCGGTGGCATACGGTGTGGGGCATACGGAGCTTGGAAGTTGTGAACAGCTTCGTGAGGATAACGGGGATATACAGGTTGTTGCGCCCAAGGAGCAGCGAAAACACCGTGGTCGAAGGTAGAAGGAATTTGGGGAGGCTCAACACTGGGAATCTGGGGTCTTGCTCGGCGGAGGATGACGACAAGACCATCAGAGGTACACGAGACGACCGCTTCCAACTCGACAGAAGGTGCCAGGTGTCGTGCTGGGCGATTGCGGGATCTGCGTGCCTGGGACACGTTATCCTCAGGTGGCGGCGGCGACTGTGGTGTAAGAGGAGTCTGGTAACGAGTTGCTCGTGAGCTAGAGCCCAGAGCATTGGAGCTCGTAGTGCGGGATTCACCTGATGTTTCGTTGGGAGTAATGCCATCCTGCATATCCACATCAGGTTCTACCTTGATGGAAGGACCTGCCGAACCCCGGTGGGAATTGGAGTTCGAATCGAGATCCATGGCACCATCCAACTTAACACCACCTCCCTCAGAATCGCTGGAGCGGCGGCTCTCAGCACGTCGTTGCTGATTCGGAGCCATCGAGCCGCTTCCAGATCCATTCTGGTCTAGGGACGGATTGTCGGTGGTGCCGTTTCTAAAGTGACGGGGCCCCTCGCTTTCATTTCGTCCACCAACACCATCAATTGTCGACTCCTCATCAACATCGCTGCCTTCTTCCTCGAAGTCTTCGGGTCGTCGTGGATCGCGAGACCAGAATCGCAAGTAAGCAATGGAATCGTTGGCTTTTGCACTCTCAATGCACTTGAGTGCATCATCCAGGCAGGTCTCTCGAATACATTCGTAGAAGCTTTTATGTTGAACTTGATCGGCAGGAACGCCGAGGATAGAGGCGACAGCATCGGTTGCAAACATAATAGTCAATGTTCTAGTAAACCGATTAAGGATAAGAGCAGCTCGGGGTTCACGCTCCACGGGTGGCAACCTGAACTTGGGGGACAGGTGTTGCAACATGTGATATCGTGGGTCTCGAGGAGAGCGTGAGAAGAGACGCCGGACTTGTGGTGCGTCCAGAGCACGTCCTGACTTCTGTTAATATATGCAAAAGGGTATATCAAGGGGGCAAGGTAACTGCGGTGAACATACTCTCACTCTTGGCGTCACGCCTGTAGATACTTATACAAGCAAAAAGAATATCGTGGACGATTGAGAAGCAGCATTCACTGCTTACCCAACGACCATCATGAGAGCGAAGACGTGCATAGTGCAAAACGGCAGCCTTGTCCAGCAAGACGCCACGACTATGCACGGATCGCGCATACGGGATTTCATCCGGATGAAAGAACTCAAAAGCTGATTTATTGATGACGTCCTGTGGAGAGTATCCAAGAATTTCAAAGATGGAATCAGACGCGTAAAGGATATTAGCGTCCGGGTGTAAATCTGGGCGAGAACGGGTCAGCGAAGGTCTGAGAGAGAAGACGCAGGGACAGAGATAGCTCACTATGTATAGTCAAGAAAGTATGCTCCATGAAGATGACGGTGCAAGAGCAGCGAGCTCCGCAACGAATTGGCCTGATAGTAGAGTTCTAATTGAAAGCGAGAGATTGCAGTGTGCAGGCCAGGCGTGTCCAGTGAATGTTGGCTAATACCAATCAATGGTCACTGGAGAGACGAGTATTGGATGATTGTTCGAGATCAGAGTTTAAGCGAGTGCACGAAGGGACTCGACAGCGTATAAATCAGAATCGAGGAACAGGAGAAGTGATGTAAGTGGGTTGAAGGTCTCCCACCATCGATAAGTCTAACTTGAGATAGTGTCTTTTGGCGTCAACTGCCAGAGTGGATCTAGTCGATAGTACGCGTGAGACTTTGCGATCTAGGGGCGGGTAGTGTAAGATATCTTGGATGACAGGGCACGGACGTGGTAATCAAGTCCGAGGCCCTAATGATATGGGCTTTAGGGACTAGATAGGGACTAGAATAGAAGTACAGTGTTTGGGAGTTGTTCAAGATGAGGTAATTGTTGATCTGGTGATACAGATCACGAATCTCTTGAAGGAGAAACTGAGATTGACGATAATGGACAATCGGAGAGTACTTTGGTCAAGTAGTAAATAGATAGATGCTCGGGTACTGAAATACCTGGCAGTTGTAGAGTTCTCTCTATGGTGCCTAAGAGCACTGAGGAGAATGAAGAATGGGAATAAATTGAGTTGTTGCAACTGAGATAGACAAGTGCGGGCAGCGAAGAAATATATATAAAGCGACCAAGAGATGGCTGCCAACTGCGAACCAGGGTTATGCACGAATCCAGTCTAGACATGGCCCCGGAGCAACGCGCATCCGGGAATGGGGAACTCAAAGTTGTTGTCTGTATGTATCTGTATGTGAGGCTCGACAAAAACAGGGAGTGAAGAATGAAAAATGAAAAATGAGATTCTCCCCTGGGCTTAACCGGGGCTTGAGGAGGTAAGGTTGCTTGGTTGGTTGGCTGGTTGGTTTGCGATGGATGTTTGGCTGTTTAATTAGAAGAGGCTGTCCACACTCGACGTCACAGCTGAAAGATTTGTTAGTTTAGTGCTCGACTATTCTTCGAGTCCAGTCCTGGTCTTTTGGCTTGATTTTGAACTGCTCCTGAAGTCCCCGGATCGCAAATGATATCGTCAACGATATACTTGAGACAATGTTGTTGTCGAAAAAGGATCGTCATCCTCAAGTACCTCGTCAAGGAGGCTTATGCATCTGAGACAAGGTTGTTTGCAAGGTATATTCCAACCCCATCACACAAAAGCTCAAGGCTAGGAGGGACACGAAATGCCACTTGCAGCGATGGTGAAGAAACCCCGAAGTTCGTCGGATGCACCGTTGACGGGCGGCGGATTTAGTTACCGTTTGTATGTAGGTACAGTACCGTCCTGTACCTCGACTACTAAGGTACTGCCTAGTACCTACTATACCTAGGGAGACTCGACTCGACTCGACTCGAAACGAGGCTGCAGTTCTGGAGGGTAGCCACGATGTGTTACTGGGTTACGTATGTTCTGTAGTCTTGGTATTAGGTAAAAAGCAAAGAAGCTCAACGCCATCCTTGACACTCAGTGGGCGAGTTTCGAGAATAGAGACAACAAGAGTCTCTGGCTCTGCTGCAGGTTTATCCGGTTGGGGAACCCAATGAATGGAGAAAACAATTGGGACAACCAACCAAGCCACCAACCCTTGAAAAGCTGAAAGGAAATGGCTTGCAGTCCTCATTGTTCTCATGACTCGAACCTTGCAAACTTTTTGATAGGTTTGTCTACTCTCGGTACATGTTCTCTCTTTACCTTGGTGCTGTGGCTTTCTTTTTTGATGGCGGGGAAGGGAATGAGGAATGACGTTGAACAGAATGACGAGTAAGATTCACGACCATCTACGGAAGAGGAATAGTTGTCAATCGCCGAAAGACGGGAACCACAATTAATCGCCGCTCCGATGTCGAAACAACAGAGCTTAAACAGGGATCGAGCTTTTTGTACTATCAATCGAGAAATTGGCTTTGTTCTCTCCGATACTTTCCTCAATTATCACTCAGGGATACACATTAGCTACCTACTGCATAACATATAATTTCAGCGTTTCAAGATGAGGAATAACTTCTACAACAATGCAGGACTATTGAACCCGGGCCAGCATATACCTCTTGTGACACAATTTTTTTGTTGCCTCATCTGTAACAGGTAGTCTCTTCCTATCTCTCCATGAATACTAATCGTCACACTTTTGCACGACCAGATCCTTCGTTTTTGTCTGTTGTGCCACAATATGCCATGCCCCCATCCGTCTCAGCATGCTGTGTTCCTCGAAACTCCACGCAGCAGCGTTATCACTAAGGAGGGAGCAGCCGTTGTTGCTTTTGTGGCCACCTCGATAATGCTCTGCCCCCCAGCAGGTATCTTTTGAGGGCGTGTCCATCGAAAGACCCTTGCTCTGGCGGAGTGTAACTCAGACCCGGTCTTGGTCCTGGCCTTGGTCCTACTGTAGTCTAGGGGCCGAAGCCCATTGTTCAAGCGCGGGATCTGGACGTCGTCGGTTGACGGCGCCTTTCCCGTCACACAACCCTTTGGATAACAGACAATGGGTGGCTAGGTCATTTCGCCCTTGCTGAAGCCACAAGAGACCAGTGGACGGATGACTTCAATCCCGGCCCAGCCCATCTCTCGATGGAGCACCGTCTGATACTGCAAGACGGTCCTTGTGTCCCTCACAAGAAGCTAGGCGAAATTTATCGGGAAGTCGTTGCGAGGACCCTTGAACACCCTAGCACGTCAACGCCCGTGCTGCCATGGTGGGTGGGTGGCTTGGTGTGCTCAGTTGCCAGTCCCTGACATTGATGATCGACAACTAACTACATAGGACCTTGATAGTGAGGCTAGCGTGACGGAGGCTTGATTGGTTGACAGGTAGCCATCCATCCTTTGTGCATCAAATGTTACTCTGGTCCTGAAAATGTAGCCAGTAGTCACGAGAGTGCAGGCTTCAACATAGCAATCTGAATTAGACATGAAGTCTGGCAGACATCTGGAGCGTCATGAACAGGGCACAGTCTTCAGATGAAGCGTAAAACTTCTAGATTTATTCATGGTCACGGGATCATGCATCAATGCTACACACAGGATTGCGAGACGGATACGAGCCAGAGACACGCCGATGCGGGTGTAATGAGTGACTGTGCGTCAGAATGGCAGTGAGTTCCCTCAAAACACCACGCTTGGATCGGATACGATAAGATCAGGCACTCGGCTGTGCAAGGTGGTGATGCCGGTAGGTGAGATTCTGTATGGACATCTCACAGCTCCGCAATTTCGAGGTGTATGGGTAATAAGATGTCCGAGCTCACGACATTCGTTTCTGCGGTGTATGTCAAGACCTCATACGAGGCACCAAGAGGGTGATTCTCTACCTTTGCCTTTGATATGCAAAGCCACAAGCTCTTGGACTTGGAAGCTGGCATTCCAGAGGTGACAATTGCGCAACTAACTTTAAGAATGATTCTGCGGTGCTGCAGGTTCTGCAAGGGAGACTGGATTCAAGATGTGAACGACATGCGACAAGAGGAATGATTGGTGATATGTACTTAGTGCAAGAAGAGCACAGTATTCTGCAGCCAGGAGGAAATGCTCCATGGCCATCACGATCCATCTCTTGACATTGACAATGAGGACTAACCTAAACCCAAAGCAAGCTGGCGGCCGTTGAGACGTACGTTAAATACCCGTCGTTGGTCTGGGTATCTTCGCTTAGTCTGATATTTGACTCCTCAACCTACGTATTTTTATAGAGTCCAATTTCAGACTGTCTGATGGTAGAGTATCTCAGGTATATGCTTGTTGAGATTTAGCGAGGGTGGGGGAGGAAGAGTAGGAGCCTCAGCTCAGGTGGGAAGTAGAATCGATTGCTTCGCCAATGAAAGCTCCCGCTCGTCGATTCAACCAACCAGAGCCTGCGCTTGCTCATCACTCAGATCCACTCTTCCTACTAAGTTACCTCTAGTCTTCGCTCTTCTTTCGACAGCACAACATGAAACCAACGTAGCATCCATCATTCAACTCGACGCGCATCGCGTTAATTATTATTCTTCTTCTTGATCCTGGATTTTTGACGTGAACGGCAAAGCAAGATAAATGGCGGCTTCTTAAACATATTTTTAATTCTGATATTCGCGACTCAGACCCCAAAGATTTTGTTTCTTTTCTTGTCTCAAGGCGCTGCTCTTTGAGTTCTCGTCAACGGCGTTTACTTGGTTGTCAGTCTCCCAACCTCGCGTCTCAGACTAAAAGCCTTCAAGAATAGGTACAGCATCAGGCAGGCAAGCAGCTTTCGTCTACACGCCCAAGAGGAGAAAACACTCTCGCCATCTCGCCGCGATTCTCATACCACCCTTTGTGCAACATTGTAAGGCCGTATCTAAGATTCGTTGCCATACCATAATCTTCAACTGTCACTGTTGATTAGCCAGCTAGTATGGCTATCGCCGATGATAACGCGTTTGAGCTTCCCAAGCTTCGTTCCTCGTTCTCGCTAGAAGTAATTATTAGCAAGCCCCATAGAGTCTTTGAAACTAACAAATGCAATAGAACGACACAGAGTTTCTCGAGAATGACAACGTTGCTGGTATAACCCCCTTTTTCATTACACTCAATAGTCAATGCATTGTCTTTTCTAACGCGAGAACTATCTATTCTAAAACATAGAGTTCTTCGATGTGAAGTTCTGTCCTTACCAGCCGCTTGATGCACAACCAGTCTTTGCCGCTATCAGCAAAAAGCATGTAAGCCTCCCCTCAGCCTGTTCAACTCTGACGGAATGAGTTCTCACACGTGCCTAGGTGGTTATCTGCACCCTATCTCACACAGCTGACAACAACCCATGCGAGGTCCTCTCGGTGATCAGAGATGATGATGTGCGTATTGCCTAATGTGCTCTGCCTGCCCATTGCGGTTTGATAACATTGTCTAGGATGAGGCTTCCGCATGCTGTTGTACTTGGACAAAAGATCCCGTAACAGGCGCCCCCTATCTATGCATAGGTGGAGTCGATGCCAAAGTCAAGATCTATGATGTTGTGAACGGGAAACTATACAGGGTATCCTCTATTCCAGGGAAATGCTGTGCAATGGCAGTCGCTGACTCTTTCTTGCTTGATTCTAGTGCCTGACCGGCCATGGAGGTGTTAGTTCATCAGCTCCAATTTGTCATGCCTTGACACAGAAACTCATTTGAAGCAGGATGTCAATGATCTAGCAACTTCGCCCGCAGACCCGTCTATTATCGCCTCCGCTTCTGGTGACACGAGTATTCGTGTCTGGAGTCTTGACCCAGTCCACGCAAACCGGCCCTGCTTGGTTATCCTCGCCGGCGAAGGGCATTCATGGGATCTTCTGAGCTTGGTGAGTTTTTTTACTAATTTCATCATGGTCTTCCTCTTGAATGCTGACAATTGCTGATAGGCTTTCCACGACACTGGCCGGTACATTCTGTCTGCTGGACATGACCAGATTATCAACCTGGTAACTATGCTTCAATAAGCTTCAGGCGGACATTTCTGATTCATCAAAGTGGACGCTCCCAGATCTCCCCACCGAGGCCATTACAACCCCTGTCCGTGTCCATTACCCTCACTTTTCGACCTCAGCAGTCCACAGTGGTATCATTGATTGGTAGGTTCTGTGTTCATATCTGATGATCTAGATGCTAACACGGTATAGCGTGGCCTTCTACGGTGACTATATCCTTTCCAGGGCATGTCATGACAATGTTATCTCACTTTGGAGAATAGAGGGTTTTTCTTCTGCAAATCCTCCCCCTCCCCAGAGCATGGCGCCGACAGCTCAGACAACCGTTCCAACCAATTACGATGAGGCAAGCCGTCTCACACGGTCAGCGTTTGTTCCAACGATGTCTCCCCAGTGCCCTTCTCAGTATACCATGCTACTGCAGTTCCATACCCCTAACTGTGGCCCGCAGTTCTTCATGCGTTTCAAGCTACATTTTGTGCCGGACCAGCATCCGGTTTTAGCATTTTGCAATGCTGGTGGGAACGTTTTCTTCTGGGATTTTGAACGTTTGCTAGCGTATCGAGAGTTCATGGAAGTGCTGAAGGACCCCAACAGGGACAGGAGTAAACCAGTTCCCCATCCAAGTTGGATGCGGCTTGTGAAGGGTCGACCCCCCAAGACGGACTCTAATAAAGGCCGGAGCGGAGGGGCCGACAAGGACATCCCGAGCGCCTTTCGGGCAGACGCAATCAGGCTGAGCGAAGAGATTGGCGACTATAACGCAGAGACCTTAGAGACGTGGGCGTCGAGGTACAGCCAAGAGGACCCCCATGAGCCATTGAAGGCACATAAGACAGAGTCTTCATCTGCCAACTTTGTGGGTCGACAGGCAGCTTGGAGTCCCGGAGGAGAGTGGTGTGTCGTGGTGGGAAGCTCGAATCAGGCATTGATCCTCCAGCGCTGGGCTAACAAAGGGTCAACATCAAGAGCATCTGCCTCCGCGTCCGCTTCTGTATCTGTATCTGCCCCTCCGTCCGCTCCCACATCTGCCCCTATCCAAAACGGTACGAGTTAGTATGGCGGCCGAAGGATGCGTTGATCATCAAGACTAGAGACCCCTAATCGGTAGACTTGAGTAGAGTGGAATGGAAGTATCTCCCTCGACATCACCTGAAGGGTTCAAAGCTTTCCATGCAGCTTTGTCTAACTCGCCTCCATATGTGATTATTCTCTCCAGATGATTTCTGGCACTCTGTTGTTCCGTCAGTCTTGCTTTCTGCACTTCTTCGGCCTGATACTGCGAGACGGGGCTGATGGGAATAACTAGGTCTGCAATGTAGAAAGAGGCCATGGCGTGCAATCGAAGATAATGTTGATTCCTTGAGTACGGCATATCCTGCATCAACGTATCCATCCTCTTCGTGATGTCCTTCATGATGGATAATGTTTGGACTCGCAGCTCGTCCTTCTTGAGAAGTTTCCTCGCTTCCACGCTGTCTGTTTCGTCACTTGCGATGCTTTCATCATTGCCGAAAGACTCTCGGCGAGACTCTTCATCAATCTCGTTCTCCAGCCGATCAAGGGCCAGTATATGTTCGGTATGCGTATTGTAGATTTCGCAGCTAAACAGAGCAATCCAGAAATCCAAGGCTGAGACGACCTTTGGGGTCTTGTAGTCATAGGGATGCTGCTGTATCAGTGTATCGAAGTAGGCCTTGACCTTGCTCATATTAGCAGCCCGGCCCCATCTCTCGGAAGATTTCAGCTGATTCCCATGTGAACCATCATCTTGCCGTGAATTGTCTTCACCTTCACGCATGAGAATTTCTGCACCTATGGCCCAGAGATCATGATGTCGAACATCGACAAGGAGACCAGAAGGACGCAGTTGCAGAATAAGGCCATATGCACGAGATGCCTTGGGGATCTCTCCTCGATCAAGGAAGTAGTGAATAGACTGTAGGAGGACATCAAAATGACCGCCTCGTTTACGACTTTTGGATTTCTTAGACTTTGGGCGTGCTGCTTCGTCTCCTTCCGTTTCTGGGGCTTCATCACTCTCAGCTTCGATAGAAAAGGCTTCATTAGATGAGCTACCGCGATGAGGAAAGTCGCGTATGCGCTGTGAAGGGTTCTCATCCGTTTCTGAGAGGCCGGCGACAGCGAACTGGGCAACTACACCAGGAGAATGGCTGAGAGGGTTGGTGGAGCTTTGGGGCTTTGAGCTTGGAGAATCGACACCTGTTGTTTCTGACCGTTTGCGTTTGTTTGATCTTGATTGTTGTGAGAATGATGGCGGGTCGAGTAAGGGGTCCATTTTGCGATTGAATTATGAGTGACGCTGAGGTTTGATGCTGGTTGATGTAAGAGATCTTGAAAGTCCTGGTAGGCAAGGTAGGTTAACTAGTAGTTACCCTAGGTGTCTACTAAATAAGACACAAGGCCCCACTGATGTAAGGTAGCTTACCTACCTGTATCTAGGTATATCGTTGCTTCGAATTGCAGAGAGACAAACACTTCGGCTACAGCTATCTTCATACCTAACCTGATGCAATGAACAAGCAGGATGAAAACTGAACACACCTCGGCTTGGTGAAGGCGAAGCACGTTAAAGTACTGTTAGCAGTTGATGTCATGAATTCACATCCCGGTTCATCAGGAGAGCTCTTAGGTTCATTTCTAACTATTGACCCAATCACCAAGCCCAGCATAGTCATCCTATGTACATAAATCCCCTCTTCTTTTACAATCAATTGCTTCATTTTCCACTGCTGGCTCTGTTTAGGTTCGGTCAAAGTAAGTCCACTGACCCGGGACGGGCTTCTCCTCGAGATCCTCCCAGCTATAAGCTTTTAGTAATAATTCCAGACTGTTGATATAGTCGTTGCAACTTACACCTTGGTCTTCTCCATGGTCTCAACTAGCTTAAGCTCACCCTCGGCAACTTGAATAACCTCCTCGATAAGGCCAGCTCCAATCTTCTGCTCGAGCTCGTGGACCCTGTCGTGCGAATTAGCCGGCCTGTCACTTCCAATTATGAATGTCCAGAGATAACGTACTGGTCGGCAGTCATCTGAGGCTCATCCTCCCACTCAATCTTCTCATGATCTTCGAGAGGCTTGCGTTCTGCCCAGGTAACCTGGTCCTCTCGCTCCTTTTGTGTTCGAATTCCCTCGTACTCAGGGCCCTCATCCTCCTCGCCATTCCACTCCTCGACTCGAATATCGCCCGCCTCGTGCTTTCGGCCCACCACAAAGATCTTGTCGCCGAGCTTAACAGTATGGGCTTCGCTACCATCAACGCGACCGCTGGCTACTCGGAACTGGGAGGAGTTCTTGCTGACGAGCTCCTTGGCGCGAACCGCCCACTCGTTGTAACCTGGAGGGATCATCTGCTCGACGAGGGACATGCGGTGCTTGGTGACAGCCTCAACGGATTGGCGGTACATGGAGGTCTCGGGGATGCTCTGGAGCTTGCTGAGGGTTGTGCCGTACAGGTAGAGGAGTGTCGATCGGGGCGTGGCATGAGTCCAGAGACCAGTGAGACCGGTGGGAGTACCGGCCTCTAGGTAGCGCGCAAACACACGAGCTGTTGGCCTCATCCTGGAGAAGTCAATTGCAATTGCTTCGTCGTGACTTTATTGACGGAATGGTCAGAGGAAATTGAATTGACCTCATTGGACTCTAGACTAGACGCCCCCAGCATTGACGTCTCAAAATGCACGTGCGTGCTCACGTGACTCTCCAAGCCATGACGAGTTAATGCCAGATCATTGAATATGCAGTTGTAGGTACTCACCATGGCCAGGGACAACTCAATATTTTACATTGACGATATATCGCAGTTGCGCATGTCAGCTATTGATCGAGATCATGTAGGTCTAATATCGTTGAACCCATTCACACCACATCACCGGTCTCTACATCTTGGAGCTAGCAATAGACTCATAAAGTTCGTTGCAAGGATAACGAAGAAAGAAAGAAGCCCTCAAATCTTGAGTTGGTTGATATCTCAATACTTGAATCAAGACAATATTTTATACCTTCCAGGCATATAACTTGGATCCTGAGTAAGAAAACTGGAAAAGAAACACAACACGCGTTGCATTCGCTCATATCATGGACGTAAAGTCCGACTCGGCGTTTGCATGCCGCGTGTTTGAGCGACACATAGTTAAATCACACATCCCTTTGTCACTAACTTAGGAAGACTCCTCGCGGCTCTTTCGGTAAGCGGCCTGTAGCACAACATGTCAGCCCCTTTCTACGTGTCTATGCTCAAAACCCAGAGGCACGACGCACTTCTTGCTCAGACTGGAGGCCCTCGATAACGGGGGCGAGCTCGGTGAGAATCTCGTATGCCTTCTTGTGGTATTCAATCTGGGCGGAGACAAGTTCGGCAAGGTTGCGCAGGGGCTCAGGTGTGTCGAGAACCTGATTTGGTCAATACGGTCATGCTGGATGATTAATTGTTTTGGGAGTAAACTCACATTCTTCATGACACCAACGGCCTCCTCGGTCTGAGTGACAAACTCGTCCTCAGCCTTCTCGATTTCCTCCTGGGCCTCAGGACTCAACTCTTGCTCCTCATGGGGCTGGTCGCCATGGGCATGGCCACCCAGCTTGAAAGTGGTACCCTTGGCATGAGCCTTGACGGCATCCAGAGAGAGGCGAGAGTTCTCAACGTTCTTGCGGGCGCGGGTAGCGAAAGTCAAGTTGGTGTTGAGGGTAGTGTTCCAACCAGCGAGGAAACGGCTCTGGATCTGGGCATCTTGGGCAAGACGAGCCTCACCAACACGCTCGCTGGCAAGCGCATACTTCTCCAGGGCGGTTGCGAGGGGGTCCTCTCCGGCGCCAGTGTGGTGCTGGTGGAGGAGCTGGCTGCTAGCCAAACTGGCACGAGCGACAGCATGGCTGAATGTCTTAGGTTGAGGCTTGGCGGCGGGAGGAGCGACGAGGGCAGCCTGGGCTTCGGCGGGAGATGTAGCAGACGAGAGGAGGCTAACCTTTTCGCTGACGGTGCGGCCGAGATCCTGGAAAGTCTCCTTGATGTTGGGGGGGTAGTCGTAGGCCTCGTTAGAATACTGGGAGCTATAAAAAGCATGTTAGATCACCAACACCCTTGGCATGTTATGGCGCAGACAGATTATCCGGTGGACTTACGTCACAGCAAGCATCTTCTGGTGGGCTTGCTTGAGGGCATCGACGCGCTTCTCGAGATCGATGTAGTCAGGAGGGAGTTGGGTCTATAGGCCACATGTAAGAACACCAGCTGCGCGATAGAGTGCAAAACGGCTCAACCTACCTTGTCCTCAGTTTGACCGAACTGCTCCTTGGTATACTGGAAGGTGCGCGACGCAAAGGGGGTGATAGAAGCCCCAAGGTTGCTGTTTGAGCATGGTGAGCCTGAGGTTCAATCACAGCCAGCACTTGGAGGAACAAGATTGCGCAACTGTGCTATCTCGTTAATTCCAGGGGAGCACATACGAGAGGTTCTTTCCAAGGTTGGTTCCAAAGTTTCCGAAATCCATTGTGTCGGTTTGTCCGGGATATTTGAGTATTCGATCGGTTGTTTGATGCGAGGTCGATTGGAGATTTGGAGAAGTGAAAAGGGGACGCTATTGTTGCGTCAACGTGGATTGAGGCAGAAGTAGGTGAGGTAAAGGTCAGGTAGGTACCTACTTAAGGTCTGGTTAGAGATATGGGAACGCTGTCACAAGAGAAAACCCCACAACAGCAGCCCCGGTATTGTAGCTGACTGGAGCCTTGAGTCTTTCCCTTTTCCAGGGGCTCGAGGGGCTTACAGGCTCACCACTTCACAGGCTGTGTCCCCCTACAGTTGAGTCCAAGCATCCATCCCAGGACATCCATTCAAAACGGGCCCTCCTAGGCGAGTGCAGATCTCGAAAGGTGGCCCTAGCTCTTCTGATACAGCAAGGTACCGATGCAAAACTCCCTAATAATCAGCCACAACTTAAGGGTACCTCAGATCAGCCGTGACCGCACGAAACTAATAGACTACCTTAGTACCTAGTAGGTAGGTTTCTGCCTACAAAGATAAGCCGCTTTGATGACGAGTCCTCTTGACGAATCCCTTTTGTAGGGTGTTTTAACCACAACGAATCTGAAGCAGGAAACCACAAGTGAGAGGGTATCTATCGATCAATTGATAATTGTACTGGATGGGATAAATAATAGATCCGATGTTCTTTTAGACTCCGTAAACATTGCTCGTCGAAATACTTGTTCCGCCTCTTCCTCTTCGAATCGCATGAAAGCTCTATACTCCCATCAATCAATCCAAAATGTGTTTATTGTCAGCCCAAGAAGGTTCGACTCCCCTGCATACCGACTCATAATCTCGCAGCATGGGACTTTGGCTGTCCAAATTGGGTGTTGTCCAGAACATAGTCCAGTTGCACCCAGACAACTTACTGGTACCCAAAGATCGCTCAAAATACCATTTGTTCACCGGGTTATCCTTCCGACTTCTCCACGATACACCATCGGGGAGACAGCCTCGCACCATAGCGTTGAAAACAATATCAGCGCAACCACCACTGCCCTGGCTCTTCCTCAGGACGGCGAATTTGTCTAGATATGGGACGTAACGGCCTTGCTCGTACGCGGTCTGGTCATCCAAACCTTCGGGTTTCTCCCACGTCAGGATGGCACCGCCTTCGTATTCTCCAGCGATGATCACGCCGGCCAGATTCTCGTTGACTCTATTGAGATAGTCATCTACATCCAGTTTTCTGCCAAATGAGTCCTCGATGAGATGGACCAGTCGAGGGAGGTCGATGCACTTATCAGTCAAGCGGAGTCTCGGACTTCCAGGCTTGGGCGGAACCCATGGACTCTCCCGAGGGTGAGGGAATACTCGAAGAGGCATACCCTTTTTAAGTAGAGTTGAGCCTCCAGATGCCCCCACCGTGGGTTCCCTACCGGAATTCGTTGGTGCGCGCGCCATTGGGAGGGACGACGAGAAGACGGGCTTGTCTGTAAGAAGGTTGTGCAGTAGTGGGTTTTTCTTCCTCCGAGTTGTTACTATACCACCGATTCCAAAGAGAGAATCAGACCCGGTAGCTTCGTTGGGCTCAAACGACGTTTTCATAAGATTGGCCGCAGCGCCGGGTGTAGTAATGAGAGCAGATGAAGTATGAGGTAGCATCGCCAAAGCATCTTTAGCAAGGGCCAAATTCGCAGCATGTGCAGTGATCGAGGCGCGGAGGTCCTTGTCGTCTGCTAGGGGGGATCCGTCAGGGCCCATGAGTTCTTTAAGAATCGGTTCATATTCTTGTTCCAGGTTAATGAACCG